AATCTATTTGTATTGTACTTACTAGCTAATTCCATGTTAAGGAAAGAGTGAAATGTGTGCAGTAGATATGCTGTTCTTCCCCCATCTGAAATGTATAGTCAGATCAGATTTCTTGTAGGCTTTTTACAGATACCATTAGTGCTAGCCAAGTTTAGAATGTAAATTTTTGTGGCTGTGAAACATTTAATTGAATTTCTAAATCCTTATCTTTCTAACTCAACTTTTATTTTCAAAAAAGAGGGAAAACAACCAGCAGATTTTGGACATACTTTGCAATAATTGGGAAACCTGTTGATTGTTTGAATTAATACTTCTACTGGTTTGTGTGGAATGATTTTCTAGTACTCAACCACTCGTATATGAACTAAAAAACCCCTTATGCATTTTCCCTTAACAAAAGCAGAAGCAAACAGCAGCCCTGGAAGAGATGAGGTTCGACTTCCAGCTTTGTGTTGCTTGTTGCTAGCCAGACTTTATCTTCTCATGAGCTTATGTGTTTCTTCGACACAGAATTGCCAAGAATTGCTGTGACATCCACAGCTCTTTTGGACAGTCTTTTCCAATGCTTCACTGCCCTCTAAGTAGTATTTGTACAATATAGCCTGAATCTCCCCTATATTTTAGTTTAAAACAGTTTCACCCCTTGTCATATTGCTACTATATTGTATTAAAAAAAAAAAAAGGAAAAAAACTGGAAGGCTGAAATGGAACTTTCCCAGGAACCTTCTATTTTCCAGGCTGAGTAAGCCCAATTCACTCAGCCTTCCTTCATAGGAGAGGTTCTCCAGTCCTCTGATAATCTTTTGTGGTCCTTCTTTGCACCTCCTCCAATAGCTCCACATCTTTTTTATGCTGGGGGCCCCAGGCCTGGATTCAGTACTAGAGATGGGACCTCACGAGGGTGGATCAGAGGGAGGTGATTCCCGTGATTCCCACTCCATGCTCCCACTCCACTCTTGATGCAGCCCAGCATACTATTGGTCTTCCATATTTCATGAGCATGCTTCTGATTATGTCCAACTTTTTGTCCATCAGTCCCCTTAGGTTGTTCTTTACAGGGCTAATGTCAGTAAGTTAATCTCTGTCTGTACACATCTGATTGCTCTGGCCCAAATGCAGCAGCTTGCACTTGGTCTTGTTGAATGTCATTATGTTCTTATGTGCTAGCTTTTCAATCCTGTCTATGTCCCCTTGGATGACATCCCTTCCTTTTGTGGTGGTAGCTGCGCCACTCAGTGTGGTGTTGTCAGCAAACTTGCACAGGGTACACTGTATCCTACTGTTGATGTCATTGATAAAGATGTTGAAGAATGCTGATCCTAAGACAGACCCCTGGGGGAAACCACTCATCAGCAGCTCTCTTCCTGGACAGAGAGCAATTAATAGCAACTTTGACTGCAGCCATTCAGCAAATTCTTTGTCCATTGAATAGTCCACCCATTACACCTATATCTCATTTTTGAGGTAAGGTGCAGGAGTGTTGTGGTGCAGGACTGTCAGAGACCTTGCAGGAGTCAGGTAGATGACAGTTGTTGCCCTCCCTTTGTCCACCAATGCAGTCACTCCTCCATAGTAGACCATAAGACTTGTCAGACATGATCTGCCCTTGATGAAGCCATGCTGGCTGTCCTGGATCATCTGCTCATCCATCCCCTTAACACAGTTTCCAGGAGAATCTCTTCCATGATCTTCCCAAGCACAGGCATAAGGCTCATTGGCTTGTAGTTTCCTCAGATCTTTTTTTCCCTTTTCTAGAAATGGGAATGTGTTCCTTTTTTCCATGTGTGGAGGGTGTGACAGCCATGACTTCTTGAATATGGTCTTTGTTTGCTGTGGTCCAGATGTTTTTTATGTAAAAAACAATGAAACTCATGTGCAGAAATCATTTCTATTCCTCTGTTCATCTTCTATATTCTAGAAATAAGAATATATTGGGAGCGTGTTACATGAAGTAGCTTTCTTTGTAAGAAAGTTTAATCTAAGTTGTGGCTTAGATGAGTTTCATCCTAGAGCTTGATTAAGAACACAGAAAATCAGCATTTCTGTCTTAGGAAGAAAGTCATTCATTGAAGTTGCTTTCATTTTTTTTTTTTTTTTTTTTTTTTTTTTGAAACAGTGCTAGGGAGAGTTTCTGCAGACAGTGGGAATGATGGAGGTGACAGGTGTGGAAATTGCTCTGCTGTAATCAAACTAACATGGAAAAAAAATAACTTAGGTTAAGAGACTTAACTGAGTTATCTAGGTAGTCATAAATGAACACAGACCATATTTCCATAGATTTCCACGTTGTCTGTTACAGAACCACTGATAATGAATGCCCGTATGGAAATCATAAAGTGCAATTCCCTGCTCAGAGCAAGGCTGTGCAGAGCAGACTGCTCAGGGCATTGTCCAGTTCAGTGCTGATGTTCTTTTTGTGAATAACTTGGCACTTTGCCTATGGTCATCTGTTCACAGCTGCTTCTAGCCATTTTATTCTTGTGTTTATTATTTTAGATCGAATGGAGAAAAATGGATGCACTGTGCAGTTGAGGTTTCTCTGCTAAACTTTTGGTGCTATAGTAGTTTATACAAAACACTACCAGCAGTGGTGGGTTTGTGACCTTGATGAGGGGATAATGGCCACCCTCAGCAAGTTTGCTGATGATACGAAGTTGGGAGGATTGGCTGACACGCCTGAAGGCTGTGTTGCCATTCAGCAAGACCTGGATAGGCTGGAGAGCTGGGCAGAAAAAAACCGGATGAGGTTTAACAAAAGCAAGTGTAGAGTCTTGCATCTGGGGAGGAATAATTCCATGCACCAGTACAGGTTGGGGGATGACCTGCTGGAGGGGAGCTCTGCGGAGAGGGACCTGGGTGTCCTGGTGGATGACAGGTTGGCCATGAGCCAGCAGTGTGCCCTTGTGGCCAAAAAGGCCAATGGCTTACTGGGGTGCATTAAAAAGAGCGTGGCCAGCAGGTCGAAGGAGGTGATCCTCCCCCTCTACTCTGCCCTGGTAAGACCTCATCTGGAGTACTGCGTCCAGTTCTGGGCTCCCCAGTACAAAAAAGACAAGGATCTCTTGGAAAGAGTCCAGCGGAGGGCCACGAAGATGGTGAAGGGCCTGGAGCATCTCTGCTATGAGGAAAGGCTGAGTGAACTGGGTCTGTTCAGCCTTGAGAAAAGGAGACTGAGAGGGGACCTGATCCAGGTCTATAAATATCTAAGGTG